ACCAAATGCATTCACATCAAGTTTGTTTGCTTTCTTTTCCTTGGTATATTCTAAACCTTATTATTAGTAATTATGCAACTTTTATTTGCAAAAAACATTAATTATTTGACCTTTATGACTTTTATGAAGGGCAAAGTTTTATGAAACTTCTTAAGAGTCATCTAAAAAATTAATACAAAGAATAAAGAAATTGGAATGAAAATTAGTTTCATAACAATTATACCAAACATACAGCATTACGGCTTCCAGATCATGAGGAGCGGAGGGTCAAAACAACTCAAATTGCTTGCAAGAAATATAAAATGCATTTCTTATACCTTTTTGAGTTAATCTGACCTTTTTCCAATGCATTTTTTTAGAATGAGGATCCTTTTCTGATCCTCTTTGTGAGGATCATAGAAATCCTCTATTCGCATCCATTCATTGCACATTATACGGTCGATTTCTTTTTAGGTATTATTTATATTCAATTTTAAATTAAAAAAATTACAATAAATTTTAACCGTACAATATACGATAAACAGACATGATTGAAGAATCTTCATTCCATTTTTTAGGCCTTTCAAGTATGCCACATCACATTCCAGATTATTATATTACTGTTAGTGTGCAACTTGTGGACAAAAGTTCACGAGGAATGCTAAGAAGACATTCTCAAACTAGGGCTAACATTAATTCATATGTCAATATTATAAATCATTATACAAAAAATATAAAATGACATAAACTCTATAAAAATTTTCATTTTTAAAAGAATTTCCTTAACGTATCTCGATTTATTATGGGTTTTAGAACTAGCTGGGCTGCAAATGTCTTTTCGCACCTTGTTAAAATAGGCATCGCAGATTTGTCAATACCAGGTGCACCCACAGTTTTTGCTTTGGTCACCTCACCTGGCCATGTGCTTTTCTCCCTCCAAGGTCTATTGTTTTTCTCGTTTATTCTTTCTTTTTGTCCATGAAATCCGAAATTAAAATTGGAATTTGTCGGAAAAAAAAAAAGGACCACGTTTATTTTGCTAGGAGTCGTCGAAAACGTGTAATTTACGGCCAACTTGGTCCGGAGCTGCCTACCTCAGTTTTCAAAGGGAAAGGAAAAGAAGAGCGACCTTGCGAGAGGGTAGTTTGGGAACTACGACGTGAATTTGCTTGGAGTGACGGAGTCTTTGTTGGATATAACGAAAAAGCGTGACGATAGTTTGCCGGCATATTGCAGCGGAGACGGCAGCCGTCGGATGCTTTGACCGGTATTGAAACCCATGGCAAGTCGGTGGTTTCGCAGATCGCTTTCTCACCTGGGTTAAGTAATTGCGGATGAGAATTTCTTTAGGGTTAGCCTGTTAGGGTTTAGGATATTTACTTCATATAGTAACAACTTTGCGATTGGTGAATGCAATGTTCTATTCTAGGTGATAAGTTAACAAACTTTTGATTTTGCTTTTAAACGAACGGCACTACAAAAATGTATAGGTTTTTTTTTTATTCAAAATGATTCGTGAAATTGGCACTATTCATTGTGGTCTCTGACAATGAAAATCGATATAAGTGATCTTTGAGTTTATCCATCGATCGTAAATCATTTTAGTCATTTCGTGAAAAATTTGTCAATATCCTCACTAAGTGGAGTGGTTAGTTTGACAAAAATACCCTTAAAAAAAGTGGTCACGTGGTCGTTCAAAAGATATTGATAAATTATTCACGGAATGACCAAAATGATTTACGGTGGACAAATTCAGGGATCACTTCTGTCGGTTTTCACTGACAGAGACTAACCTGAGGAATTATGCTAATCTCGGAAACTATTTTGACTAAGGAACTGTAATTAGCACTTCAAAAATCTCATTCTACACTCCTCACAAGTGTTATTTTATTTCTACTTATAGAAAGTTTGGAGTGCGAAATGAGATTTTTGGAGTGCTAATAACAATTTCCTTTTGACTAAAGAGTTTAAATATATATTGTCGTCATAGTTGTATAATCAACCACAATGAGATATTGAACTCGCCACCAACATTTCTCACATTCTCGTACATGAAAATCAAATTTGAGATCTTCTTTTTAACTTAGTAAAGGCAACCATCATTTGGAAACAGACTAGTTTTTTTTTTTTTTTTTTTTGTCAAATTTAAAGACTAGTGGATTAACTATACATTCATCTTGTTTTTTCTCTACTTTCCACCATCATTCTTCATTCATCTTTACTCTTATACACTTCACCTTTTCTCAAGCATAAAATTGATGTACACTTTGTGTAATCTGTTAGTTTTTTTTTCCCTCTCTCCACCATCATTCTTTATTCCATGTATCATTATGCAAATGCAAATCATTTTCGGTCCTTAATTATCAAAGGATTAAGTATCCGTACAATAACTATTTCATTTTTAGTTGTTATCTTTTATGCTTGAGATAAATCAAAGTATATAAGAGAAAAGATGAATGAAAAATGGTGGAGAGAGTGAAAAAAAAAAAACAAGATAGATGAATAAAAACAAAATAATTTAAAGAAAAAACAACTTAAATCATTTTTGTTTTGTGTACTTTTTTTTATGTTAATTTCTTCCACAGCTCTCTAATTCTTCTAATACTCCCTTAGGTAGCAATTACCTCATTTTTATTTCCACGTACTTCTGTTTTATCTCCGACACAAAAACAAAACTTAAAAGAAATAAATGAAATAATTATCAAGCAGACTCCATAAGTTCCTATGAATAAAAATCATTTGTCTTTCACTTCGGCAGGCATGCCATATTGCCATGCAAACTCGCAATAAACGAGAGCCATTCATTTTGGAAAGATGACCTGCTTCCACTTACTTGATACTTGATGGAGAAGAAAAGGTAGTGTAAAATACAGAGAAATTAAGGGGATGAATAACGATCCACTACTACTACAACGCATGCATGCTCGAATTTAGCAAGATAAGAAGACAGCTCATCCTTCCACCAAAACACAGCTCTGTCGACCTCCAAATGGCACAGCTGACTGACGTGGCACCCACTTCTTCTCTGCCCATCCGACGTGGAAAATTTGGAATACAAGCTGTACTTTACGGTAACGTATGATCGAGAGAGGGCAATATGGTAATTTTGCACAGTAGAATTAGGTGATATCCCTAGGTTTAGATGAACAACTAAATCCATCAAAATCTAACCCAGTAGAATTGCTTTAAGTCTGTGCCATCCTCCATGGATGATTGGGACATACAAACTGGGGATGTCCTTATCGAAGGGTTTTAATATATGTTAGTGTTCTTGGTGAATAGCAGGTGATCTGAAACAGGCATATATAGTTGGTGCAACGTCGTCCATGACCAACACCCCATATTAGTTATGGACAATTGTGACTTGTGACTAGACTAGCTAATTGGTCTCCTACCAAATCTAACCTAGGGTTTGTCAAATAATAATATCATGATATCAAATCATCTAGAAAACTAGCTAGTTTGTCATCCTCAAAAATGATTTCTTTCTCATGTTTTTTTACAAGAAGCGATAGCAATTTTTCATTAAAATACAATAGCAAATACAATGTTGTAACATGAGTTCGTATTCTTCAGTAACCAAATTACTTATCTAGAGATAAACAAATAAACATAATGAGTAATATCTTAACTGGCTACAACCACAAACGTCACCGAAACTAGCACAAGCACCAATAGAACAAATTTGTCACAAAACGGAAGACTAAGGCATATATAATGTCATACTAACAATTAAGACCACATTAAACCATCGCTAACAAAGATCAAATCACGATAATATAATGTTAGGTTAGATTTTAACTTTGGTCATTTGTGGGTACCTTCAGTATATCATATTGCAAGTGCAAGTGCTTGATATATAATTAATAAAAGGACCAAAATCGGAATTTAACATAACACCTAGATTCACTGTTAGCAACTTAACCAAACACACTAGCTAATCTAACTAATTTTAAATCGAAATCAAAGAGCATCACCAACAACTTCTCTAAAAGAGGTTATTTTGGCTACTTTAACTTAAAAGGCAGTAATAACAATTCCAACATACTAATTATTTTAGTTTTTAGTACCGTGGCTCGCTATTTTTAGGGAGAAGGAGAGAGAAACTAACTGGCTAGCTAAACATTTAAAATTATTATGTCACTTGTATGCTCATGCTCCAATCTTTGTGTTCGGTTGTCGAACATACGAAAGAACAACGAGATCTTAAGGCGAAGTAACAACATTTAATGGCAGAAAACGATATATGACAGCAAAGCAGCAGAGCGATGAAATTTGAATTTTAAGATTGTTGTCCGATTAATAAAACGACCAAAAAATGGATACTAACTAATTCAACATTAGTTAGTTAAGCCTATGTGATTCTATGTAGTCAACCACCCTAATTCATAGTATGGAGAAATAAGTTACAAACATACCTAATTGTTTGACAATAGAAAAGTGAAAAGGTTAGTAGTTGCCAAAGACACTAACCCAAAAATCATTTATGGTTTTAATAATGAAAGACTAAATTTGCAGATGTGGGAGCTTTTACTTGCTAATTATATGTAATGGAGGACTCCCTACACTGAAATAAAAACATACGTACCATATTAATTAAACTAAAGTAAAAACATATGTACCATATTAGTTAAACTGAAATACACGAGTTCAAATTGAAATCCGAGCAGAAACACATAATCAAAAATGCATTTCACACATAAGCCTCGTTTGGTACATGGGATGGACGGAACACAGTGGGACAAAAGTAGTTTGTTCTACTCTGGCCTGCATACCAAACATAGCACAAAAAACCTCCTTTCCATCTCATTCCATCTCGTCTCTTTCTATCCCGTCTACGTACCAACCACGCCCATCATGTCAACATGTTTTCACACGACAATATTTGCGTGGCAACGAATTTGTCGCTGCAGTTGATTTAGAGCATTTACCTTGAACCCGAGATTTTGAGCTCGACTACTCCTTAATATGGCTTATAAAACAATCTTTATGCGTTGTGTGGACCTTATGGACTAGGCCTATATACCTTCACCAACTAGCGCATTTACGTATTAATTGTTTTGGGCTCTTCTTGTATTTTTGCCTTATGGACTAGGCCCAAACAACATCACCGAATCGGCAATCGCAGCAAGTTCTGCGCAGCGCTTCTTCATCGTCACAACCTTCCTTCCAATTCTTTCCAAACCCTGGCTTCTTCAATCCCCACCGCAGCATCTCCGCCGCCCACAGCATCTCCTTCCGCCTCCAAACCCTTCTCCAATTCCCTCCACCACTTCCCAAATCCTCACTTTCTGCAACTCCGACCTCTCTCCTCGCCCTCAGGTACTCCATATTTCTGTTATTGTTGTCGCCATTGTTCAAAGTTTCAATTTTTAAATTTTGGGTTTGGGAATAGCTCAGTAACTTGAATTGTTGATTGAATTTCAGGTGCCTCTAATATTGTTGTCAATCATTAAGTCGGATGAATTTAGCACCGCAGTCAGCAAAGCTAAAGGTAATTTTTTTTTTTTTTTTTTGGGTTTTTTCTGGTTTTCAAAATCTTTTTGTTTTGAGAAAACTTGCCATATTTTCATACAACTTATCTGATGTAAGTATAAAATTTCATATAGATGGGTTATTGCTGGTTCCGTCATAGTAATTCTATATGTTTTAACTTGAATATGGTAAAACCCAAGGTCCATTTGGTTTCTGATCTGTTGTGTGCGTTTTGGTGCAGCCTACATTCCAATTCTTTAAAGACGGGGAAGAAGGTGGCTCAAGTTGTTGGTGCTAATGTTGCTCGCTTGAGAAACACTTTTGGAAGTTTGGGAAATACGACCTAGTATTGGAAAACAATATAGTCAAGTCCTAAGTTCTTGTCTTGATAACGGACAAAATGATTCAAACTTGTGATCTCGTGTAATATTATGAAAGAAAATTATTAAAACAACAATTGTTGGGTTACCATATGTCATATGTCCTAGGAGCTACAAGCGCAACAACTCCGTGGTTGACGTATTATTGTAGCACATCTCATTGACTACACTTGTTGATTGATTAGGAAAAAGAAATTGAACTAAATACAATGGTGTTAAAATATAATTTAGCTGTAAAAAATTCAAACACATTATAATTTTTTCATCATTTTTGTTCACTAATATTAACAAACGAGATTATTCAAACGTGTTTGATACTTTGAACAAGGAAATGTCCAACTTAATGTCGGCCAACAAGTCTAAAATTGTGAACTTGTTGAAAACATTGGCATTATATGAATGCCCACACACACACACAAACACATTGTCAATTCCCATTCAGATTGAAATTGACTTTGGGGATGCAGGAGATCATATTTTCCAAAAGGGTGCTGTAAATTTTCAATGTATAATTAATGCATCAGTATTGGAGTTGCTCTATAAATAGAGCACTTCGTATGCCTTCAAAAATACAGACAGAAAGAAAGAAAGAAAGATCAATAACATCATATATTCCTCCGTCTTTTATTAGTTATCCTTTTGTGCTATAGTTTCAGTGTGATATTTTATACCTGCTTCGCTTCATTCACTAAAAAGTTATTTCTCTAACTTTTACATATTTATAACAGAACTTTTATATTTTTCCGCAGAAGGAAATTATGATATTGATTTAGAAGTCGACTTAAAAGTAGGCAGGAGCATTTGTGTCCTTGTCAAGTAGTCCCCCTCCCCACTCAATCTTTCCTTCCTTGCAATTTCATGGTGTGAATACGAATGTAAACGCGTGAAACTCAATCGAGTTGATGCACGCTACGTAGCACTATTTTCTTTTAAGCTCTCATTGCTTTGTTATATATATGAGTTAGAGTTCACTTGTTGTGTTCATCTGCAACCAACTGGGGAATATATATACTGATTTCTCCTATGGATACCTTGCTTGCAAACACCTTCTTCAATCCCCTCAATATTTCTCTCTCTTTTCTCATTTTGCTTTTGGCATCTACGTATCTACCCACTGCCATAATCTGCTTGGGTGATATCGGAGTTCCGAGCACCAGCACTGTGAAACCATTATGCATTGAGGAAGAAAGTCGAGCACTTGTCAGCTTTAAACAACATCTTGTTGATCCTTCTAGTAGGCTTTCTTCTTGGGTGGGTCATGATTGCTGTCAATGGGAAGGAATTTCATGCAACAACAGCACCGGCCATGTTGTGAAGATGGACCTCCGGAATCCGTATCCGTATCCCGATTCTGATGCCAAGTGGGACGAGTCGGCTTATAATAAGTCTTGCTTGGGAGGTAAGATAAATGCTTCGTTGTTGAGCTTGAAACATTTAAAATACCTGGACCTCAGCTACAATGAGTTTCAAGGCATTCGCATTCCGATGTTCTTTGGGGAGCTTAAAAGTTTGCAATATCTCAATCTCTCCCTTGCATCATTTGGGGGAGAGATTCCCCCCTCTCTTGGTAAGCTGTCAAGCCTGAATATTTTTGATCTCGGGATGAATTTCCGCTTGTCTTCCAGAAACTTGACTTGGCTTTCTCACCTCTCTTCCCTAAAATACCTTAATCTCAATTACGTGGACCTTAGCCGCACAGGAGCCAGTTGGGCATATGATATTAACATGCTTCCTTCATTGTTAGAGTTACACTTATCTTCGTGTCAAATTGAAAGCATTCCACTCTCACTCCAAAGGATTAACTTGACATCACTTTTGGTCCTTGATATGTCGGATAACGGTATTAAATGTTCTTCATCTCCCAGTTGGGTTTTTAATCTTAGCAGCCTCATGACACTTGATCTATCGTGGAATAATTTCAGTTGTCCTTTTCCAAATGAATTTGCAAACTTCAAATCTCTAGAACACCTTGATTTATCTCAAACAGGCTTAAAAGGTCAAATTCCGAAAGTCATTGGAAATTTGTGCAAGCTAAAGGTCTTAAGTCTTTCTTACAACAAGTTTGATGGTGGAGGGATTGAAGAGTTTTGGAGGAGCGTCTCAAAGAGTCCAAATAATTCATTAGAGTCGCTAGATTTGTCTAATTGTGAGCTGGAAAGCCAATTGCCGGCCTCCATAGGAATGTTAAAGAATTTGCAGGATCTCAACCTTGGTGGAAACCATTTGTGGGGCTCAATTCCTGATTCCATTGGAAACTTGTCATCCATGAAAACATTGGACCTCTCTTTTAATAAGATGAATGGCTCCATTCCAAAAAGTCTGGGACAACTCTATGAGCTAGTTCACCTCGATCTGTCTTATAATTCATGGGAAGGTACTCTAACGGAAGCCCATTTCAGAAACCTCACAAGATTACAATATTTTCGAGTGGGAATTCAAGTCACAGACCCACCCATGTCCCTCATTTTTGACGTGGCTTCTGTTTGGGTTCCTCCTTTCAAGCTCCTATCAATTGCGATCATAAACTGTCAGGTAGGTCCTGGTTTTTGGGTATGGCTTCAATCTCAAACTGAACTGATCCAAGTCACTCTTCGTGGTATTGGAATCTCTGAAGATTCGATACTAGAGGAATGGTTGTTGAAGATGTCTTCCCAACTCAAAATTTTGGATTTATCTAACAACCAATTAAGTGGAGACTTTCCATCCCATTTGAAATTTCCAAATTTAGAGTATATTGATTTGAGTCATAATCAGTTGGAGGGCCCATTCCCACTTTGGCGGTCCACTAGTGTCTATGCCCTTTATCTTGAAAGCAATATATTTTCCGGGCCAATTCCCTCGACTATTGGCCAGATGATGCCCAATTTGAAAATTTTGTCTGTAGGAAGCAATCAATTTTCTGGGGAAATGCCTTGTGCATGGAGTGTGGGAAGCAAAATTTGGTTTCTAGATGTTGGTCACAACAATCTCTCTGGTAATATTCCCACTTCATTGGGGGTATTAAGTTTACTGGAAGTATTAAAGCTCAACAACAACAATTTTGGCGGTGTAATTCCTGATTCCTTGCAAAGTTGTTCTAGTTTGAGGAGTCTTGATCTTGGACACAACAAATTATTTGGGAACATACCTCTATGGATAGGAAGATCAAATGTATCCTTGTTGTATAGGCTACAATTACGATCCAACGTTTTTACAGGACATATTCCCCAGCAACTGTGCAATCTTCGGAACCTTCACATCCTCGATCTTAGTCACAACAACCTTTCAGGTACTATTCCCAAGTGTTTTGATACTTTAATTTCACTGGTCAACTATAATTCTAATGCCTTTGGTATGGGTTCTGAGCAAGCCACACTGACACTAAAAGGAGCAGAGCTTGTGTACAACGTGACTCTAAAACTTGTAAAGAGCATTGATCTTTCATCAAATAAATTACAAGGTGAGATTCCTGAAGAAATAAGCAACCTCATCCTGTTGGGCACCTTGAATTTGTCCATGAATCAATTGACTGGAAAGATCCCCTTCAAGATCGGAAACTTGCATTTGCTCGAAACTCTTGATTTCTCGCACAACCACCTTTCAGGACATATTCCTCAAAGCTTGTCATCTTTAACCTTTTTGTCCCACTTAAACTTGTCTTATAACAACTTGACTGGAAGAATTCCTTCTGGAAGCCAGCTTCAAACGCTCAATGATTTGTCCATTTATATGAACAATCCATTGCTATGTGGCGTTCCTCTCTCAACTAATTGCCCTGGAGATGACACTTTCCCAGCTAAGGATGCGAATGACAAGAATGAAGATGGAAATCATGATAAGTTGTGGTTCTATGTCAGCGTGGTACTTGGCTTCATCGTAGGTTTTTGGGGCATTTGTGGCACATTGATCTTGAAGACATCGTGGAGATATGCCTATTTTGAATTCTTTGACAACATCAAAGATAAGGTAGCACTAGCAATTGCATTGAAAGCGACTTGTTTCAAAAGAATTTTTTTTTGAGTTTGATTATATATGTATGTGTGATGTTTTCCCCTTTCTACATTGTATTTTTGGTACTTGCAATTTATGTAATAAATAAAGGAATTGTATCCATCTTTCAATAGATGTTTCCACAAGCAACTTTATGTATTCTGATTTTCTCTTGTGTAAAAACCTGGAATTAATAAAAACTAATGTTTTTTTTATTTCTACTAATTATCGATAGCATAATACAAAATATGTATATGGCCGTCATCCATTCAATGTTCACTACAAGAAAATGTGTTGTAGGGTACCATTTCTTATCACTGGGTTTGTAAACCTATGTGTCAATATTGTCTAATTTTAGTGCCCTTAACCTTTGTAACACTGTGATTGGTGTCAACTATAAAATTTTGATACCGAAGTCATATTGTTTTGTTTCTCAATTAGGACTGATTTTCTTGTTTTTTTTTTTTTTTTTTTTAGTTTTTCTCTCCCATTTTTCTGTCAAAAATAGTTCAATATTCATTTAGTATTACTATTCCACATATATTTTCACATCCTTGTAAATATGAGTTCAAATTTTCTGCACTCAAAACCCTTTGCGCCTTATATTATACTTGAGTAACATGTGTTCTTTTCACTAAATTTATCTTTAGTTTTTAATTTTTTTATTGAAGGGATAAGATGAATGGCCAGGTGACAGTCGTGTAGATAGGGCAAAGAGATGCCACATAGGGTTTTGAGTCCAAAAGATTTAAACTCAGCATAGGAAGGAAAGAAAGAGAGAGAGAGGAACTTGCTTTCATTTTAATTTGATTCGATTTGGAAACCAAAATCTAATTTAACTCCATGTCTGTCGATCCTGTCGAGTCTAAACGGAAGATGAAAGTGCTTTTATTTTAATCTAATTCACAATTTGTGGAAATGAAGAGAAGGAAAGAGCGACGTGGGGCTGTAAAGCCGTCCTCGGAGAAAAGGGTGCTGAGATTGACACTATTTAATTGGGTAATACTAGAGAGATCAACTATTTAGATCCAATTTTATAAACTATATAATATGTTAGTTGATGATTGAATTATTATTATTTTTTCTTTTATTACAAAGGATAAGGAATAAGATTTTGATTTACTTTTTCTTTCTTTTTTTGGGTTCCGTCTTTCTATTAAAGTAGCTCATATTGTTTGCAATTGAAGTGCATTTGGTTTGCCTGCAATTTCTTTTTCCAAAAGTTTAGCAGATAACAGAGGTTTAAGGATAACAGAAAAATTAATTAGTGAGTGGGTGGACACATGTCACATTTTTTAAGGGGCCATAGAGTGACACATGGGTATTTGGGGAGATTTTTCAATGTAATCAGAACACGAGAATGAGATAATATATCACGTGTCATTATACAAATTATAAGATATGTGTGTTAAAAAGTTAATAACTTAAAAAATAAATTATCTCACCACCTATATAAAAATACGTGGTGAATCACCCTTGTTTCGGTTACAATGAAAAATTTTCTCGAGTATTAGGGTGTTGAAAATCTGGATTCTTTCCTCTCAGGGATGAAACTTAAGGGGGTGTAGTCAATTTGGATTATAGAGGATTTTAACAAATTTTTTTTAGTGATAGATTTCAAAGGATTTTAATAGACTTTATAATTCTCTATGGATTTTAGAAGATTTATATGGATTTTCATTATGATTTTTGTGGATTTATATGGATTTCTTCCATAAATTTCTTAGGATTTTGAAAAAATTGAAAATCACACGCAGAGCCGTCATTTTTAATGAAATCATGCAGCTGTGACTCAAACAACTCCAATGTCCCAATGTGTGTTCCATTCAGTCTAGCAGACCGACCACAAGCCACAAGCCGCAAGCACCCTTTCAATCCCATGCTCACCATTTTCCTAAACTTCAATGCACACTCTAGCTTCCTGCCCTTCCAGTACCCACCAAGCGTAACATTAGAAACCACATTTCATTAATTTCCAGCAAGCTCCACTTCCCCACAACAGCAATACATATGAATCAACAAGTTCTGCACATGCAGCACAGAGTTTACCCCAAAACTAGAAAGTATAGCTATTGGGAACAAAGCTCGGCCCATCGATGAACTCACTGAGCTTGTGCAAGTTATGTGGGTTTGGGGTAATGGAGATTAGATAATTTTGGCGATTTGAGGCGATCTGCCATTGAAAATCAGTTTCGTGCGAGGAGAACATGGGAGAAAAAAACTGATTGCAGTGACATGTTAAAAAAATATTAACCATCGGATCTCAGGTAAGGCAATAAATGGAGGAAGACTGTTCCTCTTCTGAGAAAAGAGAGAACTTGCCAGAACTCAATAGCTGTTTACGAGTAGAATTTGAAAAATAAAAATCCATGATAGATGAGAATGAAGACGATGTATTGGAAGTCGACGAGGACGATGGGATGTGTTCTGAAGAGGAAGGTATAGATGAAGATGAAGGGGTTGGGAGGTTCTTTTCTGTTTGAGGGCGTGAAAAGAAATCAGATGGGGGATGGTAGGATTCTTGACAGCATTTGGTATATATATATTATCCACCTTTAAATCCATCAAAATCCATCTCCCATTCAAACCCTATCAAATTTTTTGTATTCTCGCTAACTCTGGATTTAGATATATTCTTTAAAATCTTAATTGACTATTTTTGGATTTAGATGTATTCTTTAAAATCCTCTTAAATTTACTTTGAATGCACCATGATTTCCAAATCTTTTAAAATTATAGTTGACTACATCATGATTTTAAAGTATTTTAAAACCCCATCGACTACACTCCTTATTTTGCCCATTCATTTAATGACATGTGGACTCCACTATTCCTCGAGACTCAGTATTTATTGTTTTGGAAAACTAATTATTTGATTTCCACATAAGCCCTCACTAATCAACCACCTTTAAACCAAAAAAGTTAAAATAAAATAAAAAATAAAAAATTCAGATTCCCATGTGGCCGTTCGCTCTCCCCATCTCTTGCTTCTTGCGTATCATGTTCAGATTCTTCAATCATAGTCTACCGAATTGCAGAAGAAATTGCAGAACACCCATTCGAACCTACCCAAATCAATGTCCTGACCGAACCCATATAAGAGAATTCGATCCATGGCAAATTTTCAAATTCGTTCTCAAAGAAATCTTGACCAATCGCCGTGAGGTCGTCACCTGAATAGAGAAGAATAGGAATTGGGTTTTCTGGGGAGACCTTGTACTCAACCAAAGCACAAGAACGATCACATTGATGTAAAAAATATTTGACGACTTCATATGAGCAGCAAGCAATCTTTGGTTGCAGGTTGCTGGGCAGAGAGGAATTCAAAGAGACGATTGAGCAAGAGTAGAAGTGGATCATGATTATATTTTTTTGGCCAAATTTTTTTCATGGTTTCTTGTGGTGTCATGACATTTTTAATGTGACCCTTGTGGTGAAAAGACTTTTAATTAAACTCTCGTGGTGAGCTTTATTAGTAATTGAGGTCCAAATCCCAATTTTCGTTAATCTTCCGTTAAATAAACTCACATGACTATCACATAGAGGGTCAAATTCGTCATTTCAATTCAAATTACATCCTATTTCATGGACCTCTAGTATGAGGTAGGGTTTAACGAAAATTAGATTTCATGGAAAAAAAGTTTGAATGTAAAGAGTGAAACTAAACCTGTAAAACCACGTCAATGGCTAGGAGAAAATGTGAAAGTGATTTTGGAGAACAATTCAGAAAATAAACACATAATCAAAAATGCATTTCACACATAGGCCTCGTTTGGTACTTGGGGTGAGATTGAACATAGTAGGACAAAAGTAGTTCTTTCTACTCCGGACTGCATACCAAACGTAGCACAAAAAAATTTCGTTTCATCTCATTCCGCCCATAGTGTCAACATGTTTTCACATGACAATATTTGTGTGGCAACAAACTTGTCGCCAATAGTGTCAACATGTTTTCACATGACAATATTTGTGTGGCAACATACTTGTCGCTTCAGTTTATTTGGAGCATTTACCTTGAGCCCGAGATTTCGAGCTCGACCACCCCCTAATATGGCTTGTAAAACAATCTTTATGCGCTGTGTGGGCCTTATGGACTAGGCCTATATACCTTCACCAAAAGGCCCATTTACATATTCATTGTTTTGGGCTCTTCTTGTATTTTTGCCTTCAACCCCAAACAAAGCACCGAATCGATAGAAGAAAAATGGTGAGGAACTCAGGGGTAGCCATGGCAAGGCAATTGCTCGGCAATTGCAGCGCTTCTTCATCGTCACAACCTTCCTTCCAATTCTTTCCAAACCCTGGCTTCTTCAATCCCCACCGCACCATCTCCGCCGCCCACAGCAGCTCCTTCCACCTCCAAACCCTTCTCCAATTCCCTCCATCACTTCCCAAACCCTCACGTTCTCCAACTCCGACCTCTCTGCTCGCCCTCAGGTACTCCATATTTCTGTTATTGTTGTCGCCATTGTTCAAAGTTTCAATTTTTAAATTTTGGGTTTGGGAATAGCTCAGTAACTTGAATTGTTGATTGAATTCAGCAAAGCTAAAGGTATTTTTATTTTTATTTTTATTTTTTTTGGGTTTTTTCCGGTTTTGTTTTGAGAAAACTTGTCATATTTTCATACAAATTGTCTGATTTATATATAAAATTTCATATAGATCGAGCTGTGGTCCGGGCCTTGTAAGTTCGAAAGACATTTTCTTTTAAGCAATACCCACATGTAATAGCGTATAAGGTTGACATCGACGCGTTTATTTTGTTTGAAGAAAATGCTCCAGTTTATTTTGTTCTTGGTATATAGCTTCTTTTATTCATGGCACTCGTGGGATGATCTTTTTAAGATGGTCTTTTGAATGGATTATTGCTGGTTCCATCTTAGTAATTCTATATGTTTTAACTTGGATATGGTAAAATCCAAGGCCCATTTGGTTTCTGATCTGTTGTGCATTTTGGTGCAGCCTACATTCCAATTCTTTATAGACGGGAAGAAGGTGGCTCAAGTTGTTGGTGCTAATGTTGCTTGCTTGAGAAACACTTTTGGAAGTTTGGGAAATACGACCTACTATTGGAAAACAATATAGTCAAGTCCTAAGTTCTTGTCTTGATAACGGACAAAATGATTTGAACTTGTGACCTCGTGTAATATTATGAAAGAAAATTATTAAAACAATAATTTCTGGGTTACTGCATGTCCTGGGAGCTACAACCGCAACAACTCCGTGGTTGACGTATTATTGTAGCACATCGCATTGATTACACCTGTTGATTGATTTGGAAGATGAAATTGATATGATGGTGTTACAAACGTGTCTGATACTTTGAACACTTTAAACAAGAAAATGTCCAACTTAATGTCGACGAACAAGTCTAAAATTGTGAACTTTTATACTTTTCCACAGAAAGAAATTATGAGAATGACTTAGAAGTAGACCTAAAATATAATTTCGCCATAAAAATATGATGGTGTTAAAATATAATTTAGCCATAAAAATTCCAAACACATTATAATTTTTTTTTATCATTGTTGTTCCCTAATATTAACGAACGAGATTATTCAAACGTGTTTGATACTTTGAACACTTTGAACAGGGAAATGTCTAAAATTGTGAACTTATATACTTTTCCGCAGAAGGAAATTATGAGATTGACTTAGAACTTAGAATTTGACTTAAAAGTAGGCAGGAGCATTTGTGTCCTTGTCAAGTAGTCCATCTCCCCACTCGATCTCTCCTTCCTTGCAATTTCATGGTGTGAATACGAATGTAAACGCGTGAAACTCAATCGAGTTGATGCACGCTGCGTAGCACTATTTTCTTTTAAGCTCTCATTGCTTTGTTATATATATGAGTTAGAGTTCACTTGTTGTGTTCATCTGCAACCAACTGGGGAATATATATACTGATTTCTCCTATGGATACCTTGCTTGCAAACACCTTCTTCAATCCCCTCAATATTTCTCTCTCTTTTCTCATTTTGCTTTTGGCATCTACGTATCTACCCACTGCCATAATCTGCTTGGGTGATATCGGAGTTCCGAGCACCAGCACTGTGAAACCATTATGCATTGAGGAAGAAAGGCGAGCACTTGTCAGCTTTAAACAACATCTTGTTGATCCTTCTGGTAGGCTTTCTTCTTGGGTGGGTCACGATTGCTGTCAATGGGAAGGAATTTCATGCAACAACAGCACCGGCCATGTTGTGAAGATGGACCTCCGGAATCCGTATCCAGATTCCCATTCTGGTTACCAGTGGGACGAGTCGGCTTATAATAAGTCTTGCTTGGGAGGTAAGATAAATGCTTCTTTGTTGAGCTTGAAACATTTAAAATACCTGGACCTCAGCTATAATGAGTTTCAAGGCATTCGCATTCCGATGTTCTTTGGGGAGTTTAAAAGTTTGCAATATCTCAATCTCTCCTTTACATCATTTGGGGGAGAGATTCCCCCTCTCTTGGTAACCTGTCAAGCCTGAATATTCTTGATCTCGGGATGAATATCCGCTTGTCTTCCAGAAACTTGACTTGGCTTTCTCACCTCTCTTCCCTAAAATACCTTAATCTCAATTACGTGGACCTTAGCCGCACAGGAGCCAGTTGGGCATATGATATTAACATGCTTCCTTCATTGTTAGAGTTACACTTATCTTCGTGTCAAATTGAAAGCATTCCACTCTCACTCCAAAGGGTTAACTTGACATCACTTTTGATCCTTGATGTGTCGGATAACATTATTAAATGTTCTTCATTTCCCAGTTGGTTTTTTAATCTTAGCAACCTCATGACACTTGATCTATCGTGGAATAATTTCAGTAGTCCTTTTCCAAATGAATTTGCAAACTTCAAATCTCTAGAACACCTTGATTTATCTGGAACAGGCTTAAAAGGTCAAATTCCGAAAGTCATTGGAAATTTGTGCAAGCTAAAGGTCCTAAGGCTTTCTGGCAACAAGTTTGATGGTGGGGGGATTGAAGAGTTTTGGAGGAGTGTCTCAAATTGTCCAAATAATTCATTAGAGTCGCTATATTTGTCTTATTGTGAGCTGGAAAGCCAATTGCCTGCCTCCATAGGAATGTTAAAGAGTTTGCAGAATCTCAACCTTGGTGGAAACTCTTTGGTCGGCTCAATTCCAGATTTCATCGGAAACTTGTCATCTTTGAAATCATTGTACCTCTATTCTAATAAGATGAATGGTTCCATTCCAAAAAGTCTGGGACAACTCTATGAGCTAGTTCACCTCGATCTGTCTTATAATTCATGGGAAGGTACTCTAACGGAAGCCCATTTCAGAAACCTCACGAGATTACAAGATTTTCAAGTAGGAATTCAAGTCATAGACCCACCCATGTCCCTCATTTTTGACGTGGCTTCTGTTTGGGTTCCTCCTTTCAAGCTCCTGTCAATTGCGATCATAAACTGTCGGGTAGGTCCTGGTTTTTTGGTATGGCTTCAATCTCAAACTGAACTGATCGACATCGCTCTTCGTGGTATTGGAATCTCTGAGGATTCGATACTAGAGGAATGGTTGTTGAAGATGTCTTCCCAACTCAAATATTTGGATTTATCTAACAACCAATTACGTGGAAACTTTCCATCCCCTTTGAAATTTCCAAATTTAGAGTATATTGATTTGAGTCATAATCAGTTGGAGGGCCCACTCCCACTTTGGCGGTCCACTAGTGTCTATTACCTTGATCTTGAAAGCAATCTATTCTCCGGGCCAATTCCCTCCAATATTGACCAAATGATGCCCAATTTGGAAATTTTGTCCGTAATGAGCAATCAATTTTCTGCGGAAATGCCTCATGAGTGGAGTGTGGGAAGCAAAATTTGGTTTCTAGATGTTGGTCACAACAATCTCTCTGGTAATATTCCCACTTCTTTGGGGGTATTAAGTTCACTACAAGTATTAAAGCTCAACAACAACAATTTTGGCGGTGTAATTCCTGATTCCTTGCAAAGTTGTTCTAGTTTGAGGAGTCTTGATCTTGGACACAACAAATTATTTGGGAACATACCTCTATGGATAGGAGGATCAAATGTATCCTTGTTGTATAGGCTACAGTTACGATCCAATGTTTTTACAGGACATATTCCCCAGCAACTGTGCAATCTTCGGAACCTTCACATCCTCGATCTTGGTCACAACAACCTTTCAGGTACTATTCCCAAGTGTTTTTATAATTTAACTTCACTGGTCAACAATAATTCTAATGCCTTCAGTATGGGTTATTTTGAGCAAGCCACACTGACACTAAAAGGAGTAGAGCTTGTGTACAACGTGACTCTAAAACTTGTAAAGAGCATTGATCTTTCATCAAATAATTTACAAGGTGAGATTCCTGAAGAAATAAGCAACCTCATCCTGTTGGGCACCCTGAATTTGTCCATGAATCAATTGACTGGAAAGATCCCCTCCAATATCGGAAACTTGCATTTGCTCGAAACTCTTGATTTCTCGCACAACCACCTTTCAGGACATATTCCTCAAAGCTTGTCATCTTTAACCTTTTTGTCCCACTTGAACTTGTCTTATAATAACTTGAGTGGAAGAATTCCTTCTGGAAGCCAACTTCAAACGCTCAATGATTTGTCCATTTATATGAACAATCCATCGCTATGTGGCATTCCTCTCCCAACTAACTGCCCTGGAGATGACACTTTCCCAGCTAAGGATGCGAATGACAAGAGTGAAGATGGAAATCATGATAAGTTGTGGTTCTATGTCAGCGTGGTACTTGGCTTCATAGTAGGTTTTTGGGGCATTTGCGGAACATTGATCTTAAAGACATCGTGGAGATATGCCTATTTTCAATTCTTTGACAACATCAAAGATAAGGTAGCACTAGCAATTGTATTAAAAGTGGCTTGTTTCAAAAGACTTTTTTCTGAAGTTTGATAGTACTATGTATATGTGATGTTTTCCCCTTTCTACGTTGTATTTTTGGTACTTGCAATTTATGTAATAAATAAAGGAATTGTATCCATCTTTCAACAGATGTTTCCACAAGCAACTTTATTTATTCTGATTTTATCATGTGTAAAAACCTTGAATTAATAAAAACTAATGATTTTTATTTCTACTAATTATCGATAGCATAATACAAAAGATTTATATGGGCGTCATCCATTCAATGTTCACTACAAGAAAATATGCTACAGGGTACCATTTCTTATCAGTGGCTTTGTAAACCTATGTGTCAATATTGTCTAATTTTAGTGCCTTTAACCTTTGTAACACCATCATTGGTGTCAACTATAAAAATTTTGACACCGAAGTCATATTGTTTTGTTTTTCAATTGGAACTGTTTTTTTTTCTTTTTTAGTTTTTCACTCCCATTTTGTTGTCAAAAATAGTTCAATATTCATTTAGTACCACTATTCCACAGATATTTTCACATCCGTATAAATATGAGTTCAATTTTTCTGCACTCAAAACCCTTTGTGCCTTATATTATACTTGAGCAATACGTGCTCTTTTCACTAATTTTATCTTTAGTTTTTAATCTTTTTATTGAAGAGATAAGATGAATGGCTAGGTGACACTCACGTAGATAGGGCATGGAGAGGCCACAAAGGATTTTGAGTCTAGAAGATTTAAACTTTGCATAGGAAGGAAAGAAGGAGAGAGAGGAAGTTGCTTTTATTTTAATTTGATTCAATTTGGAAACCAAAATCCAATTCAACTCCATGTTTTTTGATCTTGTCAGAGTCTAAATGGAAGATGAAAGTGCTTTTATTTTAATCTGATTCACAATTTGTGGAAATGAAGAGAAGGAAATAGCGACATAGGGTTGTAAAGCTGTCCTCGGAGAAAAGGGTGCTGAGATTGACACTATTTAATTGAGTAATACTAAGGAGACCAACTAGTTAGACCCAATTTTGTAAACTATATAATATGTTAGTTGATGATTGAATTATTACTTTTCTCTTTTATTACAAAGGATAAGGAATAAGATTTGATTTACTTTTTTGTTTTTTAAGGATCCGTCTTTCTATTAAAGTAGCTCATATTGTTTGCAACCGAAGTGCATTTGGTTTGCCTACAATTTCTTTTTCCAAATTTTTAGCAGATAACAGAGGCTTGAGGATAATAGAAAAATTATCAGAGTTAGGATTAGTGAGTGGGTGAACACATGTCATATGGGTATTTGGAGAGATTTTTCAGTATAATCAAAACACGAGATGATACTCCAAGTGCCATTATAAAAATAATAAGATATATGTGTTAAAAAAGTTAATAACTTAAAAAATAAGATATCTCACTATTTATTTAAAAATACATGATAAACCACTTGTGTTTCGGTCAGAAAGAAAAAAAAATTGAGTATTAGGGTGCCGAAAATCCGAACTCTTTCTTATCGGGGATGAAACTTACTTTGCCCATTCATCTAATGACATGTGAACTCCACTATTTCTCAAGACTCAGTATTTATTGGTCACAACAATAAATACTTGGCTTTCTCACCTCTCTTCCCTCAAATACCTTAATCTCAATTACATGGACCTTAGTCGCACAGGAGCCAGTTGGGCATAGGATATTAACATGCTTCCTTAATTGTTAGAGTTACACTTATCTTCGTGTCAAATTGAAAGCATTCCACTCTCACCCCAAGGGGTTAACTTCCTTCCACTCTCACTACAGAGGATTAACTTCACATCACTTTTGGTCCTTGATATGTCGAATAAGAGTATTAAATGTTCTTCATTTCCCAATTGGGTTTTTAATCTTAGCAGCCTCATGACACTTGATCTATCGAGGAATAATTTCAGTAGTCCTTTTCCAAATGAATTTGCAAACTTCAAATCCCTAGAACACCTTGATTTATCTGGAACAGGCTTAAAAGGTCAAATTTCGAAAGTTACTGGAAATTTGTGCAAGCTAAAGGTCTTAAGCCTTTCTGACAACAAGTTTGATGGTGGGGGGATTGAAGAGTTTTGGAGGAGCGTCTCAAATTGTCCAAATAATTCATTAGAGTCGCTAGATTTGTCTAATTGTGAGCTGGAAAGCCTATTGCCGGCCTCCTTAGGAATGTTAAAGAGTTTGCAGAATCTCAACCTTGGTGGAAACTCTTTGGTGGGCTCAATTCCAGATTCCATCGGAAATTTGTTATCCTTGAAATCATTGTACCTCTATTCTAATAAGATGAATAGCTCCATTCCAAAAAGTCTGGGCCAACTCTATAAACTAGTTTACCTCAATCTGTCTTATAATTCATAGGAAGGTACTCTAACGGAAGGCCATTTCAAAAACCTCACGAGATTACAATATTTTCGAGTGGGAATTCAAGTCACAGACCCACCCATCCCTCATTTTTTACGTGGCTTCTGTTTGGGTTCCTCCTTTCAAGCTCCTGTCAATTGCGATCATAAACTGTCGAGTAGGTCCTGGTTTTTTGGTATGGCTTTAATCTCAAACTGAACTGATCGACATCACTCTTCATGGTATTGGAATCTCTGAGGATTCGATACTAGAGGAATGGTTGTTGAAGATGTCTTCCCAACTCAAAAATTTGGATTTATCTAACAACCAATTACGTGGAAACTTTCCATCCCGTTTGAAATTTCCAAATTTAGAGTTTATTGATTTGAGTCATAATCAGTTGGAGGGCCCACTCCCACTTTGGCGGTCCACTAGTGTCTATGCCCTTTATCTTGAAAGCAATCTATTCTCCGGGCCAATTCCCTCCAAATGATGCCCAATTTGTACACTTTGTCTCTTTATGAGAATCATTTGAATGGCACTATTCCTCCCTCTATCTGCAACATGCAAAACTTGGGATACTTGTCCATAAGGAGCAATCAATTTTCTGGGGAAATGCCTCTAGCGTGGAGTGTGGGAAGCAAAATTTGGTTTCTAGATGTTGGTCACAACAATCTCTTTGGTAATATTCCCACTTCATTGGGGGTATTAAGTTCACTAGAAGTATTAAAGCTCAACAACAACAATTTTGGCAGTGTAATTCCTGATTCCTTGCAAAATTGTTCTGGTTTGAGGAGTCTTGATCTTGGACACAACAAGTTATTTGGGAACATACCTCTATGGATAGGAGGATCAAATGTATCCTTGTTGTATAGGCTACAATTACGATCCAACGTTTTTGCAAGACATATTCCCCATCAACTGTGCAATCTTCAAAACCTTCACATCCTCGATCTTAGTCACAACAACCTTTCATGTACTATTCCCAAGTGTTTGGATACTTTAACTTCACTGGTCAACAATAATTCTAATGCCTTCAGTATGGGTTATTTTGAGCAAGCCACACTAACACTAAAAGGAGCAAAGCTTGTGTACAACACGACTCTACAACTTGTAAAAAGCATTGATCTTTCATCAAATAATTTACAAGGTGAGATTCCTGAAGAAATAAGTAACCTCATCATGTTGGGCACCCTGAATTTGTCCATGAATCAATTGACTGGAAAGATCCCCTCCAAGATCGGAAACTTGCATTTGCTCGAAACTCTTGATTTCTCGCACAACCACCTATCAGGACATATTCCTCAAAGCTTGTCATCTTTAACCTCTTTGTCCCACTTGAACTTGTCTTATAACAACTTGACTGGAAGAATTCCTTCTGGAAGCCAGCTTCAAACGCTTAATGATTTGTCCATTTATATGAACAATCCATCACTATGTGGCCTTCCTCTCCCAACTAATTGCCCTGGAGATGACACTTTCCCAGCTAGGGATGCAAATGACAAGAATAAAGATGGAAATCATGATAAGTTGTGGTTCTATGTCAGCGTGGTACTTGGCTTCATCGTAGGTTTTTGGGGCATTTGCGGCACATTGATCTTAAAGACATCGTGGAGATATGCCTATTTTCAATTCTATGACAACATCAAAGATAAGGTAGTACTAGCAATTGTATTGAAAGTGGCTTGTTTCAAAAGAATTTTTTATAGAGTTTGATAGTACTAAGTATATGTGATGTTTTCCCCTTTCTACGTTGTATTTTTGGTACTTGCAATTTATGTAAGAAATAAAGTAATTGTATCCATCTTTCAATAGATGTTTCCATAAGCAACTTTATGTATTCTTATTTTCTCATGTGTAAAAACCTGGAATTAATAAAAACTAATGTTTTTTATTTCTACTAATTATCGATAGCATAATACAAAATATGTATATGGCTGTCATCTATTTAATGTTCACTACAAGAAAATGTGTTATAGGGTACCATTTCTTATCAGTGGCTTTGTAAACCCATGTGTCAATATTGTCTAATTTTAGTGTCTTTAACCTTCCTAACACTGTCATTGGTGTCAACTATAAAAATTTTGACACCAAAGTCATATTGTTTTGTTTTTCAATTAGGACTGATTTTCTTGTTTTTTTTTTTTTTTTTTTTTTTTAGTTTTTCTCTCCCATTTTTCTGTAAAAAATAGTTCGATATTCATTTAGTACTACTATTCCACAGATATTTTCACATCCGTATAAATATGAGCCAAATGAAGCTACTTATGTTAGTGTACTTTCTTCCTGTGCTAATTTGGATGGGTTGGGATCTATTTATTGGAGAAAGCAAATCCATAGGGCATGTTATTTGGAATGAGATTGAATTAAATGCGTTTTTGGGGACTGCGTTGGTGGATCTTTACAGGAAGACTGGTTGTTTGGATTGCGTTGGATATGTGTTCCAGCAAATGGTAGTTAAAAAAAAGTGTATTTGGAATGCGATGATTTCTGCACTTTCTTTGAGAATGAGGCTTTGGACTTGTTTGAAAAAATGAAGATCGAGAGGTTGCCGTCGAGTTGTGTTGTGTTTTAAGGGGTTGGGTGGTAGTTGGGTTGAGTGCTTTTTTTAGTTTATTTCTTTCAATTTCTGCAAAATAGTAGAATATGTAAAGGACATTTTAGGAATATAGGTGGGTGAAGAAAGAGTGTTTTAATTTTTTCAACTTTTTTGACGGGTGGTAATACAAGGTAGGGTGGGGAAATGGGGTTCTAGACCTATTTAAAGGTCATTGTGAACCATGCTTTGCCCCGATGTGGGACTTTGAGTCTCAAAACCTCCAACAATATTTAGGAAGGAGGAGAGAGAAGCTAACTGGCTGGCTAAACATTTAAAATTATTATGTCACTGTACAATGATGCCCCAATCCGGATCAGGATCCTCTCCTGATCTAAGGATGACGATCCTCCTGATCAAGGAATGTAGACCGTTTGATGAAAATCTAACGGTTATAATTATTATAACTTTAAAAGGACCTCATGTTTATAACCGTTGGATTTTCATCCAACGGCTCACACTTTTTGATCAAAATGATCTTCTTCCTTAGATCAGGAGAGGATTAGGAGAGGATCCTGATCCCTCCAATCCCTCCAATCCTGTGTTCGCGAGAACCGGAGTACCAAGATTTGATGGCGAAAAACGAAATCTGACGGCAAAGCAGCAGAGATTTATTATTTTAACATTTCTGTCCGGTAAATAAAACGACCAAAATCGGTACTAACTAATTCAACATTAGTTAGTTAAGCCTATGTGATTCTATGTAGTCAACCGCCCTAATTCATAGTATGGAGAAATAAGTTAACAACATACCTAATTGTTTGACAAGAGAAAAGTGAAAAGGTTAGTAGTTGCCAAAGACACTAACCAAAAAATCATTTATGGTTTTAATAATGGAAGACTAAATTTGCAGATGTGGCAGCTTTTACATACTGATTATATGTAATGGGGGATTCCTTTTTATGAACTTCTTCACATGCTCCTAACAATATATGTCACAAGTTTTATCTCTACTAATAAAACACTCATTGTCAACCGAGTATTTATCAAATATAGTAAAAAATTAACCCTTAATTTCAAAAATGTTACTTTTTTATAGAATCTTTCAAATATATCCAAATTTTCACATAAATAGACACAAATATCCTCAAATTTAACAATCAAATAAATTAAATGCTTTTTAGCCAAAATGATTCGTGATATTGACATAACTCCTTAATCTGGTCCTTAACAATTAATGATAATCAATAGTAGTGTTCTTGAATTTGTCTATCGTTAATCATTTTAGTCTTTCTTTGAATTTGTCCATCGTGATCATTTTAGTTTTTTCGTGAAAAATCTGTTAATTGCTCTGTTAGTGTGATGATGTGGCACCACGTCAATCTCACAAATACAATCATATAACGACATGTGGATTAACTTTAAAAACTATTTTTATATTTAAAACTAAAAATGATATTGGTAAGAAAAAAGGCGTTGAAGGCATGGTTGAAATTATGTTGCTCCCACTTGCGGTAACCACAGTGGCGCTCAATGTCGGTGATGAGGGGGTTGTAGGGGATAGGGTTGTAGTGGTGGAGTGTAGAATCGAAGGTGAAGTTGGATCAAAGCTTGAGACCACAGTAGCTAAAAAGAATTTAATTTATTTAATTGTTAAATTTGAGGGTATTTGTGTCTATTTAAGTGAAATTTTTTATATATTTGAAAGTTTTTATATAAAGTGACATTTTTTAAATTAAGAGTTAATTTTTTGCTATATTTGATAAATACACTTGTCAACCAAAACCCTATGAAATTATTAGTTTAATCCTCTAACTAAAACAGAACATGAATAAGAAATATGGGTTGAAATGTAATTTCACACAACTAAATGTTACTTCTTTTTTTTTCTTTCAAAGCATCACTTACATGTAATCCTAACATATCTCCAATTACAAATAAAAATAAAAAACCTTCCCATTACCACATTCTCCATCACTCTCTTCGTCTCACATTCTATTTCAAAAACAAAAATAAAAAAATTTCACACACACTTCGTATGTGCCCATATGCAAGTTAAAACTTAAGAAAACTCAAACCAACCTAACAAACATTGGGTAAGAAGGAGGTTAAGGATTGTGTCATATCCACCCAAAGCGTTCAATGTAGCAACTTAACCAAAACACTGCCCACCATGACATCACTGTGTCGATATGATAGTTGGGTAAATTCACCTAGGCCCAGCAAACGATAGAGAAAGATTTACATACATCTTGTTACATCACCGCTTTGACATTTTAAGTCATTAATAATGTAATGTTGCGTTATTGGTCTGAAGTTATAGAGTTGTTTACTTGAAGAAGTTCTCTCACCAGACACTTCATATATTTGATCAACTAGAGTTCAAAGGGCGCAAAAAAGCTTTCCTCTTTAAGTTGTGACTCTGCTGTAACCGTTATTTGATATGATGCATTTTTCGTTTTGAAATTGAGTACATTTGGCAATGATTCCAACAAGGCTTAGTATAAGTATAGTTACTGGTACTAGCTAATTGCAGGAAAGTCCAATATTGTTATAACGAATTAAAACATACGTACCATATTAATTAAACTGAAATAAAAACATACATACCATATTAGTTAAACTGAAATACATGAGTTCAAATTGAAATCCGAGCATAAACACATAATCAAAAATGCATTTCACACATAGGCCTCGTTTGGTACGTGGGGTGGGAAGGAACATAGTGAGACAAAAGTAGTTCGTTCTACTCCAGCATGCATACCAAACGTAGCACAAGTAAACCTCTGTTCCATCTCGTCCCATTATGTCCCGTCTATGTACCAACCACGCCCATAGTGTCAACAAGTTTTTACATGACAATATTTGCGTGGCAACGAACTTGTCGCTGCAGTTGATTTAGAGCATTTGCTTTGAACCCGAGATTTTGAGCTCGACTACTCCCTTATATGGCTTGTAAACACTCTTTATGCATTGTGTGGGCCTTATGGACTAGGCCTATATACCTTCACCAACTGGCCCATTTACATATTCATTGTTTTGAGCTCTTCTTGTATTTTGTTGCCTTAAGCCCCATACAAAGCACCGAATCGAGAGAATTAAATGGCGAAGGACTCGGGAATAGCCATGGCAAGTTCTGCGCAGCGCTTCTTCGTCGTCACAACCTTCCTTCCAATTCTTTCCAAACCCTGGCTTCTTCAATCCCCACCGCACCATCTCCACCGCCCACAGCATCTCCTTCCACCTCCAAACCCTTCTCCAATTCCCTCCACCACTTCCCCAACCCTCACTTTCTGCAACTCCGACCTCTCTCCTCCTCGCCTTCAGGTAGTCCATATTTATGTTATTGTTGTCGCCATTGTTCAAAGATTCAATTTTTAAAATTTGGGTTTGGGAATAGCTCAGTAACTTGAATTGTTGATTGAATTTCAGGTGCCTCTAATATTGTTGTCATTAAGTCGGAGGATGAATTTAGCAGCGCAGTCAGCAAAGCTAAAGGTAATTTTTTTTTTTTTGGGTTTTTTCTGGTTTTCGAAATCTTTTTGTTTTGAGAAAACTTGTCATATTTTCATACAAATTGTCTGATTTATATATAAAATTTCATATAGATGGAGCTGTGCCAGCACTTTTCTATTTCACTGCAGTGTGGTGCGGGCCTTGTAAGTTCGAAAGACGTTTTCTTTTAAGCAATGAAGTCATTGGCACGAAAATGTGGCGTAATAATGTGCTTTGAACTTATGATTGGTACTTTGGTGTGATCTTCTTGTGCAGGCAGGATCATATCTCCAATCATTGGGGAGTTGCGTGAGCAATACCCACACGTAACAACGTATAAGGTTGACATCGACGAGGTGCGCATTCGAATTGGAATTTAGTCTTCTGTAAACTTGGATCATTTTTTTTTTTTGGGAACCATTTTAGTTCTTTTGTGGACTACTTAAATCCCAGCTTAAGATTAAGGTCAAAACTCGGAAGAACTCTTAAGTGTTGCTAATTATGAAATCTAGTTATCCGTTACGGGTTTTAATTCCCAAGTTAGTTTTAGCAATTATTTTACTTGTGGGCTCATAGCCATCTGGCATGGAATGGTTAGCTAGTTTGAATGTAATTTCGTTTCTTTTTATTTTGGGAGCAAGAATTTTTTCATAGTTCATACCTAACCTTGTTTATTCTATCTACAGAAGGCCTTACAAACACTTTGGACGAGTTGAATATTTCCTCCGTGGTAAATGATTTGCTTTAATGTTTTTGAAGAAAATGCTCCAGTTATATAGCTTCTTTTATTCATGGCACCCGTGGGATGATCTTTTTAAGATGGTCTTTTGAATGGATTATTGCTGGTTCCATCTTAGTAATTCTATATGTTTTAACTTGGATATGGTAAAATCCAAGGTCCATTTGGTTTCTGATCTGTTGTGTGCATTTTGGTGCAGCCTACATTCCAATTCTTTAAGATGGGGGAAGAAGGTGGCTGAAGTTGTTGGTGCTAAAGTTGCTTGCTCGAGAAACACTTTTAGAAAACGCTTCAAGTAATTCTTTAGTACATTACACTACACTTGTGTGCTTTCTCATATGTGAATGTGGTGTTTATATTAAATGCATAATAGCTTTTAATGGTTCAAGTTTCTCCAAATGTGATCAGTTCTATAGCTCAATTTTATATTAAACCCTATCGTAGGATTTCCATTTAATGTATGTGTGTAACTAAAACTGTTGGTGTTGATGACACTTGGAAAGTAGCTATTTGAAAACGTGGTAGTTGCATAATTCATTTGCGCTTGTGTCATTGGAGCTTACTACTAGACCAAATGATATACCATATTGTGAATCAAAAAACTAAAAAACTCTCCGCAATGTGGAACATTCTGTGGTTTTTGGTGTAATTGTCATCTGATGATGGTGTAGGCAATCAACTGTGTTGCTCCAACATCATGTCAATTTCGTTCTAATTTTTAGGGTTATGGCACTTAATTATGCATTTACTAGCTACTTGATTGTCTGTTAAATTTTTTTTTTTTTTTTTTTTTTTTTTTTTTTTTTTTTGCAAAAAGAAAGAAAACCACAAAGGAAAACATTTTGGTGGTGTTAAATTTGGGTTACTCATGTTGTATTGGTTTAACTTGCGTAATTTGTGTTCAAAGAGATGCGTAAATTCAGATTCTTGGACATGTTTGTGAATCTATATTTCTTGTTCTCTTGAACTCCCTCACACTCTCAAACGCGGAGACACTGACGAATTTCTGTATAGTTTCTAGCTTTCTGCTGTATGATCTGGAATTATGGCTGAGCAGTTGTTTTGTGTTCCAGGCAGGAATGAGCGAGGATGAATAATCCGCGGCCAAAATAATAAAAAAAGAGGATCCAGAAATACTTGTGCATAAAGAGGAGAAGAAACTCAAGTAGATTGTAAGAATTATTTTGTGCTAGCTAGCTGATTGTAAGATTGGCCTTTCTACCGTTAACAGTTAACTTGTTCGACAAGTTTGGTTTTTGAAGCTCAATCAAATTTGTGTTGGTTTATATGGTAATTAGTTAAAATCCACAACCTACAAGCACCGACTAAATTAAAAGAAAGCATTCATTTGTATTCGCTTATACGAAAAGGGTGGTGCTATTCACAGCACACTTTCCTAATTAATTTATGTCATTGGATCTTCTCAATTTATTCGATTTCACGGACGAAAATTGAGAAGAGTGTGAATAGTACAAATTCATACGAAAATTGTACAGAGACCTAAAAGTTTGTAGTAATTGGAATACCCACCAAGATATGAAGTGTGTTTACAATGGGTTAACAAAACAAAGTTACGTCATCGTGATGGGCCTAGTCAGAACTACAGACTGATGCATCGCAAATACATATTGTCCTAAACAAAGTTACGTCATCGTAATGGGCCTAGTCAGATATACGTACTGATGCATCACGAGTATATATTGTCCTCGCATAGACGCAAGTCAAACACACTCCAAATGGAGATGGCTAAACTCGAACTAAAATCTTTACATTTGATGACATAACCAGATCGAGCTACAAGCCTACAAGTGAGAGAATAGGATATATCACTGTGGTTTGGACTGCATGATTTAGCCAAATTATGTACACCATAATTCTATGAGAAAAAAAAGAACAGAATCCAATCGTGGGGCTTCTTACTAGAACAGGGCCAGATATCAATGTTGACCTACATTCAAATCGTAAATTTTACTCTCTTAAGTTTCTCATTCTATACTCTTGTTTTTGTTGATTAATTCTCTCTTTATTTATTCTAATATAATGATAGAACAACAAAAATAAATAAAATAAGAGAGCGAAAATCAACATAAGTTTGAATACGAAATTGAGTATTTATGTCAAGAGTTAAACCATGAGCGTCGAAAATTACCATTCTTTTTGAAATCTAGTATGAAGTTCATTTTTAAAAAATAAAAAATATAATTTTATCTCAACAAAATTGGTGAAATTTGAAGGAAATGCCGGTCAACTGCCGAATACTAATTGGGTAGAAAAAGATACATGTCAAATTAAGTGCAAGTAAAGAGCTTAAACTGATAACATTTTAAGGTCTAAACCATTAGTCTCTTTAGGATTATTCTTAATATTTTAACACGATCACGACATCTCTTGGAGAATGCAGATACGTCATATAGCTCCAACCTTCCACCTCTAACATTAAGTTTAAAGATTTAACACGACAGAAATAGGAATCCTAAGCCACCATGGCATCCCCTGATGTTAAATCGCAATTTAACTATTTTAGGGAATATTTTGGAAAGCTAGTTGCCCACTGTATTTCCACGTGCACCTCTGCCTAATTTTGCACCCAACAATTGCTTGATGAAGCTGCTGAGTTTGCAGAATGCATGCATTCCTTCTTGTCTCCATTTTTCAGTCCCTTTGTTTTGTTGTTTGATATAAAACTATTAATCACTGTTCTAAACACATTTAAAACCCTAAACTATGACCATAAACTGCTCAAGTTCCATTTTTCTACTTCTAATCCTTCAATGTTTATACTGCTTATTTCAATTAATTAAACATACGTTCGAATTTAATTAGAAAAAGAATTATCTGCAATGAATTTCATATATTATGCTTTGTATCTCTCATCACGTGATAAAGTTAAAAAATAATGCTTATCCTTCAATTAATTAAACATATTTTCGACCTTAATTAAAAAAAGAATTATCTGCAACGAATTTCATATATCATTATTTGTATAACTCATCACGTGATAAAGATAAAAATATAAATTTTACACTCCAAAATCAGACCCTCCATCTTAATCACCACTGGACTCGATTTCAAGCATATGAGCAAGTTCCAAATGACACACCCCCCAAAATTAGTAGACAAACATGACTACAATTAGGTGTTTTTGAGTCATTCAATACATAACAAAACAGTTTTGAGTAATTCGATGAATTTTTTAATTTAGAAAATCGACAGACGAAGTATATATCCTTTTAAACTTGTAAACAACATATAAACGTATTAATATATAAAAACAAAAAGGAAAATAAAAGGACACACCAGTCACCAAATATGCATAAATGCAAGGAGCTGTAGGTCATATGGCAAAGCTATTTAACCGAGGTAGTGCGATTGTACCTACAGCTTAAACAGACAAAACAACAAATGGTCAACCTATTTTATTTGTTATTAAATAATAAGCCAGAAAAATGTACTTTTTTCTTGTTACTGCATTAGATATTGTACAAGTTGGGTGCCTATATATACCAATAGGATTTTTTTTGGTGAGGATTTTAAGGATTTGTAAATTATGTTCGTTTATTGTACATTATGTGTCAGTTTTTGTCAAATACTATTTGTATTTAATTTTAAATAAAAATATTTAAAATAATTTCTGACCGTACGATGTACAATGAACGGATAATTCATGGATTTCCTGAATCCTCATAAAGAGGATCCGCCGAGAATACAGATTCCCCTAGATAATCATGTTTAGTTGATAATTACAACAGGATGATTGAGAACTGATTTTTTTGGTGGGGGTAAAATAGTATTGAATTGAATCAGTTGATGCATATTCTTTGGTGGGAGGGGAAAGGTTTGTGTGGCAGAAAGAATGGAACCCAGAAATGAATAATGGAAACTGATCAAAAGCTAATGGAACACATTTCATAGTTCCAAAGTTAGAAAATTGTCTGACAGAAGCAAAAAATAAAGAAAGAGAAATTCTATGGAAATTTTTTGAACTGAGAATCTTTATAGATTTTTTATCATTTTACAGTTTAACATCAATTCTTGTATTAGCATTATGGAACATTTTGCTAAAGGCACAAGATGTTAGATAATTTATGAAGAATTCGAATTTTAAAAGAATCTCTTTAGCATTTCTCATAAAGAAAATGCAAATGGTGGATTCTAATCAAATAGTACCTTCACATTTGAAGTGAGAATTGGGTTTTGATTCACAGGCAAAAAATAAATTAGTTAGAACAAAAAGCGTTCAAGTCAAATTATCTAATTATGACATATACTTATTTTCAAGATGGGACTACTCAACAGGAGATGAGACCACACTTCCTATAAAGTTGTTCATAAGTGTTTCTTCGTACTCATTATTTATAAGAAATTTTAACGAAAAATTATATTTTTATAAATCATATTTTTATATTAAAAAGTCAATTCTGATACTATTTATTTTATCTTTTATTTTATTCTTATCGTTAAAACTCATAATTTTTAAACTCTTTTAATTAGTTTTCCTTTATTTCTATTTCATATATATATAACACATACAAATGCAATTTGGCAGGAAAATCGATGCAGGTTTTCACACAAACTTTTGGTGTAATTTATTTGTATAATGTTAATGTTACTAAGAAAATTGTATACCATAAAAGTAGAGAACAATTTCGTTTTTATTTGTCTCGGATCATTTACAAATAGGATATTAACTTGTTTTCCATCGGATGCGGTTTCACAATTCTAATATGAAATTGAGTTAAAAGTTGATAAATTTCTAGATACTATTCAATATACGATTTGATTATATTGTTGAAAATTAAGTTACTGAAGAAGCTTGACCTAACACTTTGACCTGAATGACAAAAATTAATCTTGAGTTAACAAAATTAAGCTTAATTTTCCGGGAATATTATAGCCAGAACTGAGTACGGCAAAAGGGTTCAAGGTAGAAAAATGCATAGTAAATTAAATAGTAAAATGGGAGGCGCTCAGATCACTGTGGAAAAAGAAATGGACTAGGATTTTTTCCTCTCATTTTTCCATATCCTTCCATTATTTCCTCTCATATTCTCTTATTTTGTTTTTCTTTTGCTATAAAAAATTAATATAAGATGTTAACGTGACTTAACCGTGATCGTTCAAATAGAAGTTAAGAGAAGAGGAGGAAAAAAAAAAGGGAGAAAATCCTACTCCAAAAGAAATTGTGTTATAGTATTATTGCACTATTTGCAGTGTAGAGAAAGTACACACCGGTGGGTTGCCTTCCCACCATTGGACAAGCAACCTCTCTAGATCCTCTTTACGAGGATTAATCAATTATGTTTGTTCATCATACATCATACATTGTGCAGTCAATTTTCGTTAGGTATTATTTATATTTAATTTATAATTTAAAATAATTTAGAACTACACAATATACGATAAATTGATACAATTGATTGATTATCCGGATCCCCACAAAGCAAATCCGGAGAGGATCTATTCCCCCACCATTAACTCCACTCCCCATCCTAAAAGAGGCCAGAGCAATTTACAGGAAACAAATTCTTTGTTACGTGACATTCTAATTTAATAATATATTATTATGCGAAGAAAAATTTGTACATAGCAATGCATTATTGGACAAAAAACATTACGTGACGATAAACTTGTTTTATGTAAGTCCTTCTCCCATCCTACACCACATCACATGCACTCTCACCTCACCGAGAGCAATTTTCATAAAATAATTCACCGCTACTCGGTGTTTTAATTTAATAATGTAACTTTTTGTAAAATAAAACTTAGACATGATTTTTTTTTTGTTAAACAATACATTCTGTTAGATTAGATATTAAATTAGTTAACGACGAAATTTGAATTCACGCTGTTATACAAGAACTCAACATTTTTTTACTACTAAAAGTAAATAGCCACTCGTGATATTTTATTATTAGACTAAATTTTGACGGTGAACTTATTTTTTTAGGTCATTCTTCTCACACCTCATCACCCAATCCATTAGACTCTCTCTCTCTCTCTCTCTCTCTCTGTCACAAATAAAAACACATACACAGACTCTCTTTTGTGCAAAAACGACAATAATTCTGAACCTCCACCTGCTATAAAATAGCACTTAGTTAAGTAAGGGTTTTTGAAACCCAACTTGGTTAAAAAAAAAAAAAAAAAAAAAAAAAAAACTAAACCAAGGGCGCAAAAGATTAAGGCCTCGTTTAAAAGAGGCCTAATTGACTAGCTAGCTATTGCTACAATAGTAGCTAAACTTAAAAGGCTTCTCTTTCATACGATCTCCTTCCCACTTCTTTAA